GCTGATATAAAGTTCTGGTTCTGCCACTGATCATTATATTGTTGATTGACAAATGTCTAGATTTTAATTGGGTGTTACAACTTACCAATTGACATGCTCTACATATACGTGTGTTGTGAGATAGGTAGCAGTGGTGTGGTGGTGAGGCTGCCGTCACAGGCCGGGGTGTGGTGTTTGGCAGCAACTATGGAGGGGTGAGGGTTGGGGATGGGGCTGGTGGGTTGGAGAGAGGGTTGGTGGGCTGGGGAGAGTGCTAGGTAGCCCGGGGAGGCGGCTGGTGTGCAAGTGGGAGTCAGGGAAGCGGCAGTGGCAATAGACGGCCTGGTGAGACTGGTTGTCAGAGAGGGGCGACCGCAGAGTACCAACGATGGTGGAGAGTGATGGTGGTCGGTGGTGGAAGGTCTGGGGCTGACTATAATGACACGTGTGGTGGCTGTAGAGACACGTCAACGGTGGCTACAATGACATGGATGATGTCTGCAGTGACATAGACGGTGGCTACAGTGACACATGTGGCGGCTACAGTGACACGGGTGCTGGCTACATTGACACGAGCGGCGGCTACAGTGACATAAAATTTAACAGTGACATACAAATCTGGCAGATACCATATTTTTCAAATATATGACCTTCTTGATCACTTTTTTGTCCCTTTTTAAAAGTGGTCACTTTTTGGTAATTGGTTTAGTACTCCGTATTTTTTAATATTTAATGGTTAAATTATGGAGTTTTCTACAAGAATATTACTAAAATAAAAATATTTACATAAATATGACTATTCATTACTACATGAAATGTGGTGTTGTGGTAACTTAAGCTCAAAACTTGAGCATGAATCGTCCTACATAATTGCACTACTTTGTGTAAATTCATTTTCCCGCTCAAAGCTCAAAAGCATATCAACCGCACGATCCAAAACTAGATCTACCACTCTGATTAAAATATCGTTCATTCTCTTTCGCCTCTTCCTCCCTCACTGCAGTCCTTCACTCCCTTTCTCACACCCCAGACCATCCGAATTTACTCAATTTACGGATGGATGAAAATCCGAGTTTACGTACTCCATTCCGAGATGGATGAAAATGGCAAAGAACACTTCTTTTCTCATCGGAATCCTTCTGAGTTGAAAAGTTCAGAAGCATTTCTTCTTCTTCATCGCAATTTTCTTCCAATTTGCTCAACGGAATTTCTAAAAGCTCGGAAGTCTGCACAGTCCTGAGGCTGGCTGAATTTTAGCTTTCTAGATTTGTGTGTAAAGAGACTACACAATGAAGTTATGGCAATGGAGAAGAACATGGTTGCTCTCCTTTTAGGTTACAACGATTTTCCTGCAATTGTCCTCTTCAAGGTCAATGAATTCCTCTTTGCTCCTTCATTCGAATTTAAATTTTTATAATTGCTTATGGAGCTGTTTTTCTTCAATTTCAGATTATCTCAAATAAATGATGATCTTCTGCTACAAATTAAACCAAGCAAAACTAAGGTATTTTTATATTCATATTCAATATTCATTCTTTAAATATGGCTATTGTTATAAACTTGTAATGCTTTAAGATATCAATAATTGAGAGTTATATTTCACATGGTGTGAAATAAATATGGCTATTGTTGCAATGCTTTACTACATCAATAATTGTTTAAGTTATCACCTCTCTCCACCCCTTACTACGCATTTATTTCACACCTATCTAATGTGCATATTCCTAAAACCACCCGTGAGGAACTGTCACATTTGGAGTGGCGTTGCGCCATGATGACTTAGATGGAGGATGCACATTCTAGTGGGCCGTAGGAACTAGCTTCATTTCCTCCTGGAAAATCGATGGTTGTTTGTGTGGATTTACACTGTTAAGGTCCGGCCTGGCGGAATAATTGATTGTTTTAAAGCATGTATGCTAGCGAAGGGGTATACTCAGGTTCATGGGTTGAATTATACAGATATATACTCTTCTATACTCTTCTGTCCCCAAAAATGCATCTGTTCGATTGCTTTTGTCTATGGTGTCCATGAGTCGTTGTTCATTGCACCAATCGGATATAAAACGCTTTTCTACATGGTGATCTCAAGGAGGAAGTTGATATAGAGCAACCACTGGGTTTTGTTGCTTGGGAAATTTGGTGATGTTATTTGAGGAGGGGTGTTGAAACCCTATCCCTAACCGAATTGGGCTCAGTCCACTTTCTGTAGTTAGCCCTAATTGTAGCTAAATCAAGCTATTGTTTTAATGCTTTAATGCATCAAATAGTAAGAATGAGATTCATATTTCACAATATCAAATTTACTGTCAATTTCTGAATTAATTGTTTAAAATTTAGTTAACACTTGTTAGTTCATGCAAACAAACAGTGGCAAACTTTATGCCTAATCATTTGATATTGCAAACTTCCTGTCCGGCTGTCCTCTTTACTCTTTAGAGTTGGTTGGTATTTAAATGTTTTTTTTTCTTTTTAAACAGCAACCCTAATTTTCTTTCTTCCATCAACCATTTCAGACACAATCCAGAGAGCCTGCCGTTTCATTTTTTTCATCATCACCAATGTCGGAGCAATCCTTCGGAGCAACTAGTTTAATCTATCAACTCTATCACTCCGTAATAAGTCTTATTTTTCAATTTCCCCTCCTTTACCCTCACACCCCACCCCCCGCCCACCCCAAATCCTCCATTTCTAGGTAGCTTATTACCTTGTCATAAATTTATAAGTTTAGATTACAAAACGAGTCTAAAATGAGGATAAATTTATAAGTTTAGATTATAATGCAATGGATGGTGTTGTTAGTTTTGAAAATTCCTAATTGAAACCTTAGAATATTAAGCCTTAAGTCGTTCTAAGTTTTTAGTATGGTTTGGCATGTACATTTTATCCCTTCATGCCTTATTAAGAATAATACTATGTATTTTTTTTTTTAAATTTCATCATGTCAAGTTCTAATTCCACTAACTAATAATGAATTATCTATTGTGCCCTATTTCACCCTATCTTATTCACTTCCTCGAGGGCCAGCTTCACATTTAAAACCTTGCCCATATTGGATCCAATCAAATTGGAGCTAGCATATTGCAGTTGGAAAGGAGGAAGTAAAAACAACATCACACTATGAAAGATCCAACATGAGGGGAGCTAGATGCCTCTAATGGGCTGTAACTCAGATCAATTGGGAAGAAAGGAGAAGGGGAAACCACAAGCTAAACCCGCTAGTGCGATATACGTGTTAAGAGGAGAGGATGATTTTGATCATATTTACCAACCTTACTATTAAGATGGCATGATGCAAATAGGAAAATTTCCAAAAAAAAATAAAGAGTAAAAATAGGAGTATTGTGTTTTCTACCAAAACAAGAGTAGAGCCCTTTCATCTTATTGAAAGTACCTTTTTAGGATGACATTAAATACTCCTATTAGGGGAAACCTATCCTACTCTAGGTTACCTACTCAGTGAGCGGTGAGTACTTGGTGAGTACTCGCAAGACGCAACTCGGGTACCGACTTTGTCGAGTAGCTACCTAACTCGGTCCGTGTTTTATTTCCGAGTTACTTGCCGAGTACTCGGCGAGTTTCTCAACTCAGTGAAGTATTCAACTCGGCGAATACTCGGTCTAACTCGGCCCTCCATATAAATTGAAAAATTAAGTTACAAAACATAGGTTAAACAGACATCTACTATCCCCCTAGAACTGTGACTACGATTTCTCAATAAGTTGTCATATTCTTTCTCGTATCTTCCCCTCTCCCGTCTCTCGTTTCTTCTACTTCTTCCACCCTCCCATCCTTCTTCGCCATATGTTCTTTTCAGCATTCTTAAAATATCACCATTTTGATTGTTTAATATTGACACACACATATATTTTGATATAGATAAATTCTTTTCACTAGTATGACTATATATATTACTACGTAACTTTTAATTAGTATCACTATATTGATTGTTTACTATGACACATCATTGATTGATACACACCGTCACACATCATCTAATTGACAGTCATGAACTCTGCTCAGTTTGCCGAGGCTCTTAATGGTGCTAAATATGCTAATACTACACTTAAGAGAAAATCAGATGATCTAGTATGGACATAGGGAGTGAACAGAGATATTACCATATTATTAGATGATTGATTTTCTTAATGACTGAGAATGTTTATGACTTTTGATACTCCATCATTAGCATTTCTATCATTTTATAATGAGAAGAATTTAAATTATTTCTCAAAAACTTCATTTTTAATAGACTAATAAATAAAATATAGTCAATGTAGAATGGTATGGTAGTGTAACTATTTTAGCGATACAATATGGTTAGATCTTGAAACTAAAGTTGTTTACTACGGTCATATTTCTAAACGGGCGGTACCATGTACCAATATCAATCATGTCACTTTTTAAATTGTCCCAACCTAACAAAAAAATTAGCATGAAACATACTCTCTCCCTCCCCGAAAGAAGTTCTCACTTTCCTTATTTGGATGCCCCTAATATAAGTTCTCATTTCGTTAAATGGAAAGTTATCTACATCAAAACAGTGCCAAACAGTACAAAACAATGTCGAAACCGGGTCAAAACGGTAAAATTTACCCCCTGGTAAGTTTACTTGCATAAAAGTGTGTGAAAGTCAAATGAAGAACTTCTTTTGGGGACGGAGGGAGTATTAAAAATATGTATTCAAAGTTATGCATCAAGGTTTTGCCATAATCTAAAATATGCATGTTAGATAAATAAATATTTATTAATCTAAAATATGCCATAATCTGATTTATTGAAGAAGTGTGTTTAAAATTAAAATAGAGAAGATGGTTGTAACAAAAAGTCTTAATTTAATAGAAGTGCAGTGATTAAAAAAGTCACACTAAATTACATAGAAGGCCCCACGGTATCTTTTTTATGAAAGATACCCCATTTTTTATTAAAAATTAAACAGTTGCAATAGTACGGAGCAGGACAAAGTTGTCCAAGGAGAAAGATGGTGCGCCCATCAATATCGAGGGTGCGCGGAGAACGTCCGTTAAAATTTTGGGCTAACATAGAGAACTTGCACGCCCTCTTTCTCCAATCGGTTGTCCTCTTTCTCCAGAGATCAGAGTCCAGACCTCGATAGCCCCAGATTCTCCGCCGCGGCTCCAGGACCAGACTTCCATTTTCCTGCCGTCGCCCGTCTGTCAGTTTCTCACGCTGCCACGCTCCAGACGGCCGGACCTCCAGTGCTCCACGCGACCACGCCACCACCGCTCCACGTTACCGGCGCTTCTCACTCAGCCACACGCTCGCCAGTCGCCACTCCCTACAGGCTTAGATCCGCCACTGGATGAGTTTGACGGCGGATTCCCCGGCACACTCTTCTAGCAGTGATGATTTCGCAGCCTTCCTAGATGCAGAGTTAGACTCTGCTTCTGGCACATCATCTGAACTGGAAGAAGAGGAAGCAGATCAAGAGGAGAGAGATGATGACAAGCAAGATGAAAACAATGACCTGGGAGAAGATGGTGATTGTAGCAAAGTTTCAGATGCTCCTAGAGTAAAGAGGTGCAAGTTGGAAAACTGCAAAGGCACAGGGGATCAAGAGTGCTCAAAATCTTGTGAAGAATCTGGAGGCACTCTGGGTGTTTCAGTTAAGATGGATTTATGTACACATCCTGGTGTGATGGGTGGAATGTGTATACGGTGTGGGCAGTTAATGGACAATGAATCTGGTGTTTCATTTGGGTACATCCATAAGAATTTAAGGCTCAGTTCTGATGAGGTTGCTAGACTTCGTGAAAAAGACTTGAAGAACCTGCTTCAGCAAAAAAAACTCTATTTGGTTCTTGATTTGGATCATACACTACTAAATTCAACTGAGCTCTCAGAAATTCGGTCCGGAGAAGAGTACCTAAAAGATGCCCTCCCGGATGCTCTAAAAAGCAGTCTTTTCAGGTTAGACATGATCCAAATGATGACAAAGTTGAGGCCATATGTGCACGAGTTTCTGAAAGAAGCCAGTGATTTATTCGAGATGTACATTTATACTATGGGCAAACGTCCTTATGCACTTGAAATGGCAAAGTTGCTGGATCCTAGAGGTGTGTACTTCCACTCGAAAGTTATTGCACAGGAAGATTCAACTCAGAGACATCAAAAGGGACTTGATGTTTTTTTAGGGCAAGAAAGTTCTGTCCTGATCCTTGATGATACTGAGTGGGTATGGGGAAAGCACAAAGAAAATCTAATACTTGTGGAAAGATATCTTTTTTTTGCTTCAAGCCGCAAGCAATTTCGATATAGTGGTGAATCGCTTTCACAACGTAAGGTTGATGAAAGTGAAGAGGAAGGAGCACTTATCACCATTCTTAAAATTCTTAAACAGATCCACAGTATTTTCTTTGGCCAGGACCGGGGAGACAATATGCGCAAGGGTGATGTGAGAGAGGTGCTAAAAGAAGTCCGGAAAGAAGTATTGAAAGGTTGCAAAGTCGTTTTCAGTCGGGGTTTTCAGGAAGAAAATCATCAACTGTGGAGGAGAATGGCTGAGCAACTCGGAGCAACATGTGCAACAGAAGTCGATGAATCTGTGACACATGTGGTCTCATCGGATGCTAGGACTGACGAGTCGCGCTGGGCAAAGCAACATAATAAATTTCTAGTTAACCCGGAGTGGATTGAAGCCTCCAACTATCGATGGGAAAAGAAAACCGAGAAGGATTTTCCAGTTAAATAGAGGTGACCTCAGCTCCTCAACTTTGGGGTGATGTATATTTTGAGCTACATACTAGTGGATATGTTTTGATAGATATAACCGGAAAATAGAAATTGTTTGAGAAGGTTTTTGAATGGGTTTAGCACAACTTAACAGTGTGTAACTTCCATGGGTGTTGAGGTGTAGCGTTGAATGATCGGCGGCCATTGAGGTGTAGCGTTGAATAACAAGCCTAACTACATTCTGGGATTTCTGTCAAAAAAAAACATAGCTTCTTTTAGTCATGAGAGAGGTAAATAGCTCATAGATTTAAGATGGAGGAAAAAAACATGTTTTATAATGAATAGTGTGATATTCTCTCATTTTGGTGATATTCTCTCAAACATTGAACAAAGGTATTCAAGTTCATTTCATAATACCCTATCGTCTCGTAATTATCTCTTGTTTGAAATGGCATGATATGACACAAAGATTAGGAAAATAAAAATTGTACTCCGGTCATTTCACTGTACTTTGCCAACTTTTCTTTTCTATTTTTCCAAAAAAAATTGTCACTTTCCTTTTAAAGCATTAATTTGTGGCTTTACTAATCATTTGTCTGCCCTCTTTTTATTATTCCAGTTTCATACTACCTCCGTCCCCGAAAAAAATTCCTACTTTCCTTATTTGGATGTCCCTAATTTAAGTTCTCATTTCCTTAAATGGAAAGTTATTTACATCCAAACAGTGCAAAACAGTGTCAAACAATGTATAAACAGTGTCAAAACAATTTAGTTGCATAAAAGTGTATGAAAGTCAAATGAGGAACTTTTTCCGGGGTTCGGAGGGAGTACTTATAAGTAGAATGAAGTTGACAAAGAAATTGAGACGGGACTAATATAACATAAAGTTAATTGAAATAGAGAAACTAGGGTATTTGACGGATAAGTGTGTATTTTTAGCATGGCATTCCAAAAAGTGAATTTTTTTAAGCTTTTCTGGAACATGGAAAATGTCAGAGCACTTTCGGATTTCAGAACTCCGAATTTGTATATACGTAGTATATTTATATTTTTTTCATTTGTTGATAGATCTCAGAGCACTACCAAAAGGATTTTGGAGCTAAACTTACCTCAATTTTTACTTTCTTATTAGTTTTTTTAATGATTGTTTTTCTCTTTTCAACGATTTTTACTTTCCTATTTTTAAAAATAATAAAAATACCCCAAACTTTGAAGGGGTGTGAGGTAAATACCCCAAACTTGCATATGTGATTTAAATACCCTAAACTTTAAATAAAAAGTTATTTTTGTAGCTTTTTCATATATTATTTCTTTCAAAAATGTAAGTTTATGGAGTTAATTGCATAATTTAAAATAGAAAATTAAAAGTGTTGCAATTATATAGATTGGGGGGTAACATTATTTATTTCCTAATGCAAGCTTAAAATGTTAATTTTGTCTTCATGAATTCCAAAATATTTTAAATTATGCAATTAATAACGCAAATTTTACAATTTTGAAAGAAATAATAGTTGACTATGGTGCTAAAATAAATTTTTATATAAAGTTTGGGGTATTTAAATTACATATGCAAGTTTGGGGTATTAATCTCACACCCATTCAAAGTTTGGGGTATTTTAATTATTTTCCCCATTTTTTTATGATTGCTTTTTTACCTCAATTGTTTTTATTACTTTCTTATTTTTTCTCTTCATTCAACATAACTAAAAACCGTACAATATTTGTCGTTTAAATTGAATATGTGTTTGTCTCCCGAATTTCGATCAAAATACATGTTTATACATGTTTTACAGAGGTTAGTTGCAGAGTGGGTGAATATGTATTCAGAGATACTTTGTTTGACTTAGAATATCTTTATCGATAAAGTATTCTTATATCTGACTAGAGACATTATTGAGGTGATTGGAAATAATGAGGTTAGTTGCGGAGTGAGTATGTATTCAGAGATATTTTATTTGACTTATAATATTTATATCAGATAAAGTATTTTTTATCCGATTAGAGACATTATTGAGGTGTCCACTATTATTTTAAAAGTAAAACTATTACGGAGTACTATATTTTGATGTGTCCACTATTATTTTATAACTACTTAAATAGTAATATGAATTTATATATTTACCAATATTTTTTTTTTTTGCAAAATATTTACCAATATGTTTACAATCACATCATTTATATTATTGGCAAGAACAAGAATAAATAACAATGTAATGTAATTTTATTATTCATTTACCATTTATTCGGTAAGTTTTTATTATTCATTTACCATTTTACCTTCCCATCACTTCATTGAGAGCCCGTTTGGTAGCACCAAAATCGGCTGTTTTGGCTGATTCTGCTGAAATTTATGATATTCTGGCTGGAGTGGCTGCTTTGGCTGATTCTGCTGATTTAAGAAAAAAATATTTTAAAAATATATTTTATTAATAAATTAAAGAAAAAATTATATGTAAAAATAGCTAAAATGGTCCTCTATAGTAACTTCAGCCAATACAGCCAGAAAAGTAACTCCAACCTTACTTTTTCGGCTTATTACACAATTCAGCGCGCGAAAGTAAAAGTTACGTGTTTGGTGAAAAAGCTGGCTGATAAGCCTGATAAGCCGAATTATGTCAAATTGAGAGGATACTCCGTTTTAGTACACTACAATGGTTTTACTGATCAATGTTGATTTACCATTTCTACTTAAACTACCCCTTTTATTATACCCATTTTAGTGCTACACTTTTTAATCGTCCAAGAGCATTTTTGAAAGACTAACTTTATTTCATATTCTACCTATAAACTCGTGAAGTCAAACTATGAATTTCATTTTGGGATGGACGAACTACTCAAAAAATAAAATAACTACCAACAATTAATGATTTCTAAGACCATTAACTTAAATATACTAATATTCATACGCTTTACTTAGATATATTAAACTAATAAAATAAAGACATACACTTGTTAATGAAATATAGTAAACATTATTAATAGTTTAATACTAATATACGTAGTATGCAATGTAATTATAAGTTATACGTAGGGGGTGTATTCAATATGGATTGTTGTGGACTTTTTTTAATCCATGGACTTTTAAAAAAGTCAATGGACTTTTAAATCCATAGACTTTTTTATGAATGAATTCTATGGACTTTTAAATCCATGGATAAGTTTATTGACTTTCAAAAAGTCCATAGACTTTTAAATGCGGACCGCCACTGCTGGTCGTCAAAATTTTCACCTAGATTGCCGCTACCGATATGTCTGTGACCTGTCCGCATCCATCACCGGAGTTCCCCGCTGTCGTCATCGGACTGACGCGTCACCAACAAAATGGCTTTGGTTGTGAAAGGGAACTAGGGACAATTAATTATATTAATTAATTAATTAAATTAATTAAATTAGGGGTGAATATGTAATATTTATTCCCACTTAAGAAAAACCCAACATTTAATCATACTTTAAGAATAATGCTATGTTTTAGTCCTACCGTGAGTGATTTCCTCTATATAATACGGAGTACGATAAGAAATAAATAAGTAAGTAAATAAATAAATAAATAAACAAATATATATATAAATAAATAAATAAATAAATAAATAAATAAATAAATAAATAAATGAAAAATTGTAATTCATATAGCAACACAAAGTTCTACCAAAATAAATGAAGCATAAGAATTCAAATTTATTTTTATTAAAAAAAAACTCAAAGTTTCAAGAATGCTCGAGAATTTTGACCATTTTATTAATGATTTAGAACATTAATCGTTACACAAGCATTACACTCATTGCTACATGTGGTACAAGCATACATGCAATCGAGCTTTTCTATTAGTGATTGTATTCTTAAACTTCTATCTTGTAAAAACTTGTATATGTATTTATGGTTATATATTTATTAATTTGAAATTATATTTTTATGTGTTAAGAGATTTAACGATGAAAGAAAGTGATAGTTAAAATATTTATTTTCTTAATGGTTAACTGATGACGTATCAGAATTACATTGATGTAATACTATCGATTCTTATATCGGTTCTTCTAGAAACTTCTAGAATCGAATTAACATAGGATTACTGAATCGAGGGGGGTGGACTGGGGACGGCAAGCTAAAGAAGAAGAAGAATGGAAGGAGAGGGGTGGGCGAGTTGGGTTGAAGAAAAAAAAGAAGAAAGATTGAAGAGGAAGGTGTGGCTTGGCTAAAGAAGAGTAGAGTTGGGGGAGGGGGGGAGTAGGCTTGGCCCGAGGCCGGTCTGACTGGCCCGGGACCCGGCCCGGCCCGCCACTGTGCGGGTCCGACCCGGCCCATTGGATCAGTACCTGTACCGGGCCTAGGCCCGACCCGGGGGGATTAATTGGGGCGGTTCCGGAACTGCATATTTGAGGAACAGCCCGGCTGGTTCGGGCCCGGTCTGGGCATTATTTTTTTTTTTTTTTGGGAGGGGGGGGGGGGGGGTTGGGCCTATGGTAGGTAGGCTAGGTGTTTTGGAGGGGTTTGGGGGGTGAGGGTTGGAATATATAAGAAAACCGAAAAAAATGAACCAGCCCGGCCCAATCCGGAACTGGCCCGGCCCAACCCGGAACTGGCCCGGCCCAATACCAGTAGACTCCCGGGTTGGTCCCGGGCCTTACCCAAAAAATTCCAAGCCCGGCCGGGCCCGACTCGGAACAGAAACCGGGTCTGGCCCGGTCCATCCCTAGGAGGGAGGGGAGGAATGGGGTGGGACGGGATGAAGAACCGATATAAGAAAAGTCCACGAAAATCTTTGGTGAGGAGAAGAGACAATTGCAGAGAATTTTTGCACTAAAAATGAGTTAAAAGTCCACGAGAATTCATGATTTTAGAAGTCAATAAGAATGAACGGAAATTTGAATACGCCTAGACTTTTATAGACTTTTAAAAGTCCGCATTGAATACACCTAGACTTTTGTGGACTTTTAAAAGTCCACATTGAATACACCTAAACTTTTAAAATCCATGGACTTTTAAAATTTTGCCACTAAATCCTAATACAATACACCCCGTAGTAATAAGGAGTATTAACAACTGGGATGGGCAGCTCACACTTTGGAATGAATTCGGAGTTGGCAGATCCGAAAATAAAAAAATCCCGCATTAGGTACTCCTCATTTTCGGAGTACTCTATTCCGTTTTACTCTTTTGTGTCAAAAGAATGGGATGTGCACTATATGGAAACACCTGCTCAAAAATTACCCTGTTTCGTCATTCCCTCGCGAAACTACCTTTTCAGAAAGGAACCCGTATGTGAGTCAAGTCAAGTCATAGAGGAGGATTGATTTTGAAAAGGCTTTCCATTTTCACATGAGGACGACGACGACGACGACTTTGTCGTGTCTGAAGTTGGTTTGCTTGCAATTTCTGACGGTTGCCGGAGACTAGAATATGTATTATATATCTGCAATAGAATGACTAATGCAGCTCTTGTTGGACTGTCGAAGAACTGCCCAGATCTTTTGGTATTCCGTCTCCACACACCGGGGTGGTGAAGGGTTTGGGGCGATTCTTATGAAGTGTAAGAAGCTTAGCCGCCTTCACACATCTGGTTTATTGACAGATCAGGCTTTATGTTACATTGGACAGTATGGGAAATCACTGCGTACTTTGTGTGTTGGTGTTGCTGGAAAGAATGAAATGGGGCTGAAATTTGTGCTCGACGGTTGCCCTAACTTGCTAAAACTTGAGATGAGTGATTTCCAATTCGGAGATTCAGCTTTGCGTTCTCTTTTGCATCATTTTTACAGGCTGCAATTTGTAAAGATTTCAGCATGCGGTGTAACGCATCAATGCTGTGAGTATAGAATTCACTGGGAAGATCCATATGGACCAAAGTATGTGCAAATCTTCTGAAGTTATATGATGTCACTGGGAAGAATAGAATTCCCTTGTTTACCTGACCCTACTCTGCTGATGGCTGATGATGTAGTGTTGTGAATGTTTGAGTAATTTCCATCATGACTGAGCAATGAAGTTTTATTTGGATGACCTTGTTTCTATTGAACAACTTTATTGCGTAATGATTAAAGCTCCTTTGGCTTTGCTCACCCATGTTATTAGATTTTGCTCATTTCCCATTCAGTTTTGAATATTTTTTCTTCATGGTGTTCATTTCAGCTCAAAGTAGCCTATGACACTCCAATGGGTAGGGGATATGGGTGTGATGCATCAGTTAGTTGATTTGGTTTTGGGACAATTACAAAAAATATTACTTCCAACAACAACCGCCGGTTGTGGCTTAAAATATATTTACCCAAATCTAAACAATACAATTAATTTGATTAAACGGATGAGAAAAAAAATCAAACTAACTTGAAATATTTAAGACAAATTTACCAGATTCTATATTTGATGCTCTTTCATAATTCTATATAGTTGTAATGTTGATTCATTCAAAACACGGTCAAGTATTTTATCTTTCTAAGGGATTTTGTATTGCTAAATTTGAAATTGAATGTGTGCCACTAACTTATAAAGTCAAACGCCACAATGACATGGTTTAATTTCTTGTGAAAAACTCACTCATGATCGATACGCTTTGGCCAGCAAATGTGTAATACTTCTTTCACTTATTTGTGACGATACAAATGTGTTGCAAATACATTTATGCTAAAATTGGTGATGGGTTTGCGCAATTCCCTTGTTGAATATATTTTGAACTTTTGTAGTTACCTATTTGTGATGTCTTGCAAATGCCACATTTTTGTTTGTGGTGAACATGCTGGAGTTCATTTACTACCACTTCTACCATTTGTACAGTCTAAGTTTGGAGCCCGTTTGGTAGCCCTATATTTTGGCTTATCAGTCAACTGTTTCACCAAACACAACTTTTGATTTCAGGCGTTGAATTGTATGATAATAAGAAAAAGTAAGATTGAAGTTGTTTTTCTGATTGTATTAGCTGAAGTTATTGTAGAGGATCATTTTAGCTATTTTCATATAATTTTTTTATTTATTTTGTTAATAATATATATTTTAAATATAATTTTTCATAAATCAGCAGAATCAGTCAATCCAGTGACTTCAGCCAGAGCTTCATAAATTTCAACAGAATCAATTGATTCAGCTAATTTCAGTGTCAGCAAATGAGCTCTGGGGTAAAATTATATCCCGAGAAGGTGAAAATACCGTAATGGCACATTTTTCAATGATTGCACATGCATTATAATGGGAACGATTTTTAATTTTTTACGTAGTATATACTGATACCAGTTCATATTTATAAAACTAATACCTTGAATGTGGTTTAAGACTTTAAGCTATTATTATTGTATATGATGTATACTTGCACATGTGAAGTTCCTCCTATGCTTTTCTTTTTCAAAGAATGTAAAGAAATTGACATGAATAGGACTTGAACATACGAAAGATGCAAAAACAGGACCGTGCCTTTTAAATTCCCAATATAGAAGTCTTTATTCCATTTAAATTGGACCATGCCTTTTAAATTCTTATCTTACCCTTATCACATTTAATTTTAGATTGTCCACTTTCCAGCCTGTCAAGCATGTCGGCATATGTATTGTCTCACCCAACAACTCTTTTAACATCATCTCTCTCCTTGCATAACATTTACGTCTTTCACCCCCTTTCCCATCTTCCCATTCTCCCATTCATAATTTCTTTTGAATTCATCTCATCTCTTATCCCCATCTCTGGCATCAAGCAAACTTTTCTCTCCTAGTCTCTTCCACCGATGGTTAATTTCTCTTCTACAAAGTCACTCCGGTCATGTGTCGTAAGTTCTCCGGTTTTCCGACGATTTCTCCGGTAAGGTATTCTCCTCCTAAGCTCCTCCTCTTCCATCTTCTTCTCCCTCACTCTCGCTCCTCTATTTTCTTCTCTTGATTTTTTTTTTCTATTTTCTGTGGTTTCATTTGTTTAATTTTAAGATTCAGATCTAAAATTGTTGTTTTAGATCTGAAAATTTTAAATCTATTTTCTCTCTTTTCAGATTTAGCTATTTTAAAAAATTGAATCAAATATTTTGTCCTAAATCTAAAAATTTCTATTCAAAACTCATGATGGAAATTTTAGTCTTTTAACTATGAATCAGTTGTAAGGCCATGTTTTCATGCTTAAAAATCATATTTTGGCAATTTGTGTCATTACAAGGGTGGTGCCGTTTTTGACAATTATTGCTCTTTTATCAGTTATAATGCCATGTTTACATTTTGAAAAATGAGATTTTGGCAATTAATGTTAAGATGTTTTGTGACTCAACTTTGTATTTTTGCAAGCATGAAATTTTGACAAAAATCAAAATCAATCTCGCCGGAATCTCGCCGGAGGAGAAGGTGGCACAAAGTGAGAAAGCGGCACCGCCGATTGAGGCGACCGGCGGCGACCACGCCTGATGAGGCGGCCGGCGATGGACGATTTCAGATGTGTCAGCCAGCAACAGCGATTACAGATAGGTCTACGGAGACAACATTTCAGGTGTTGCAGCAGGATTTCAATTGTGGTGGTGGTCGGCGGCCGGCGGTGATGTAGCCGTCGTACAATTATTTTAGTGTAGCACATGTCTGTAAATTGTTTTGTTTTTTCTACTGCCGTATAATAAATACTCCGTATTGATTATTAATAAAGAATTCAGCTATTCATTAAGGGCAGTTTAGTCAACCCGTAATTTTTTACTCCTACGCAACTTTATAGTCCTACTTTTGAACTTTCAGTATGTTTTATTCGAATTCTCTCAAGAATGTAAGATGTCACCAAGCAAAAGTTACTTTAATCTTCTAAAGTGACAATTTTTTCAACCAGATGCGTTATTTTTTTTAACGATGTTCAATGTTCAATTACAATGGACTGCTTTTAGATTCTATTTATTTTTTACTTCTTTAAAACACATTTCACAACATTATTTTTACTCAAGACCTATATTATTTACTGTAAACTCAACCGCCAGTTGCACTATCATTCTATAGTTTGAACAAGAAATAACATTTATTTATGGATTCGTTAATGACCAAATTACAGCACCCCTACAAATTTCTCTACACTCCTTTGTTAGTTCCTACGCGAATTAAAACATGTAAGAGCATACACAATGCTAATGGCTTTTACCCCTTCCTCTCTCTTCCACATCATTTCCCACCAAAAACTTAATCTTCTCTAACCTATCACACTTTCCCCCCACTACGGTGACCTAGATCACTTAAAATTTGTACATTCTCTCTCCATATTTTTTTTATTTTCCACCATTATTAATTTATATAATTTGATAAAGGAATATAAAATCCACATTTGACCCACTACAATAATTTATTGTTGGTTGGAAAATCTAGGTAGAGAATGAGTTCGATCAATTTTCAGACGAAAATTATTCTAAAACAGATAAAATAAGATGCAAGAGGGAAATAAGTGGTAAATTTCGAAGTGACTAAACATATCCTTCATTGGTGTTCGTTTATAGAGAAAAAAAAATCTGATTTTTTGGTATATTTTTTTTACAATAAATTAAATTTAAGCAATAATAAATGTAATTTGGGAGTTGGGAGATATTTGATAAGGTTGGCTAAATAAAAAGCCACATGGCCTTTTTTGATTGGTTAGTCACAAATTTTTTGTAAGCACCCATTCTTGAGCTACCAATTTGATATTAATTCATGACCTTGCATAGTGGGGATCAAGTAGGGTTATTTTTTTATCCTCATTGACCTCCCAATCTCCCATAGTGGGTGCCCTAATAGACTGATCGAACCAGCCATGTTCTATTAACGTAACTGCTCGTCTGCTCCCATGAGTATTTCGTTTGAATAATGGGCGTCTCGAGTACTTGAACACAGAGATGTACATTATAATTTGTTGTTAAAAGTGAACATGCTTATATTACAAAATTTTATTGTCAAATAAAACATCCAGCCCCATTTGATAGTTTCTGGTCCAGCTTGAATCTTTTTGGTATAATTTGATTTACACAGTTAATTAATGATAAGTAATAAACACATGAAAGAAGCAGAGAACAGCAAGCATGATAAGATTCTTGAAAGCTAGAACTTTGAACGGGATAAGAATGATTCTCCAAATGAGATGTATAATAAATAATTACATATGCTAATAACAAAAATTTACAGACGGATAGTAACAAATTAATTAATCAAGAATCCCCATGGATGTCTGAAGCGGCCATCTTCGTCGAAGAAAGGGTGACAAGTAAAGATGACACACAGAGCAAGAGAGAATGAAAGATATTGTCTTCCTTTTGATAGTTTAATAACAAAGTAAGAGAGGAAGAATTTTCAATTGTAGCCAAACACCCCAGAAAATTATTCTGATTCCAAGTTTTAGGAGTAAAATCAGTTCCGAGAGAGAGATCCAAAAAACACAGACAATGGTGAAAAGCAACGAACTTTGAGATGTGTTCAGATCATTACTCCCTGGAGGGAACTAAAAATTCTGAGGTCTGCTTAGTTGGAGTAAGGCGGTGAGTCCATACAAAGATGGATTAAACTTCTTTGGTATTGCCCATAATATTCAACAACTGCATTTGCATCTTCATTCTCAGGACTCAGTCCAGGCAAACTAACCAATTTATCCTTCTCCGATGACTTGTCGTCAAAATCCAAACCGGATAGTAAGTCAGCATGTATTTCACGGCAAGTGAGAATAAACAGTGCTGCCGTGTCTGGTAGTTGTGCCTCACGAATTGCTGCCAGTGCCTCTTGAAATGCACCAGCTGCTACAAACAAGATAAGTGCCCTGCAATGTAATCACCATTGAGTAAAAGACATGTAGAGAAGTATGTTTAGAAGTAGTTTTCATAATAGAAGAAAACAAGAAGAAAAAATAAAAAATTCTTTGCCTTTATCATTATCATCTCTTGCGTTTGAATTAAAGTAAAATAAAAAGTAAAAAGGACTTTGGAAGGAAAATAAAGTTAAAAGGTTATAGATTTACAGTTTTAGCCATCACAACATACCCAATAAATTTAAGATGCAGGGGAAAAACATGTTTTATAATGAATAG